AATGATGCAATGACCCTCAGGGCAATTACTTTAAAATGAATAATCGTTATTTTTTCAAAATCATTACAATGATGCAATGACCCTCAGGTCAATCACTTTAAAATGAATAATCTTTTTTTTTTTCAAAATCATTACAATGATGCAATGACCCTTTGGTCAATCACTTTAAAAGGAATAATCTTTCTTTTTTCAAAATCATTACAATGATGCAATGACCCTTTGGTCAATCACTTTAAAAGGAATAATCTTTCTTTTTTCAAAATCAATGCACTTTTTATTTTTTCAAGAACTGAAATGAAAACAAGAAGTAAACTGACTGTTGGGCATCAAATGATCAATTTCTGGATTTATGTTTCCTTAAAGTGGAATTTCATTACAAATGTCATTTTTTTTCTTCTAGCACTAATGGAATGCCCTATACCAAACGTGCCATTTGAAATGTTTCATCTGATAACAGAAAACTGAAACAGATAGTTCCAGTAACAAACAGATTATCACAGTTAATATATTACTCACCTTCAGTATTACTAATTCTGTCATCTTCATACACTCTTAGGCCTTCATTTACAATTCCTGCAAGTTGATTAGCTGAAATAAAACAGAACACATTTAATTAAAGTTACATTTCACGAAATATGAAGCATGTTTTTTGAATGTATACAAGGTGATTATATAAAACTAAACAGAATTATATTTTAAAAACTAATTTTCTTAGGGGAACAATATGTCACCTTAGACACACACTGATAATCATACATTTTATTCAAAAAGTTTGGACATGATAAAGTGTGTTTCTAAAACTGTCAAACAATACACTCAGTACACTGTCCATTATTATAATTTAGCATATCTAAGCTAAATGAATTGCTATAAGAATTATCTATTTTACTTTGCACACTGGAACACATACTTAAAGTGTGTTTCTAAAACTGTCAAACAATACACTCAGTACACTGTCCATTATTATAATTTAGCATATCTAAGCTAAATGAATTGCTATAAGAATTATCTATCTTACTTTGCACACTGGAACATATACTTTATTCAAATCTTATTAATGTTGGTGAGAAAGTAACTTAGGCATGGAATATAACATGATTTTGATGCATATTCTCCAGAATAAATAACTTTTAAATTATATGATTTCCAATATGGAGTTTTCTTTATAAACACACTGTAGAAACAAGGAACGTTATGATGGCACATAAATGAGCAATATCAAGACATATTTCAGGCACAACTTATCTTAACAAATGTCATTTGAGATCAAATACATCAAAAAAAGGAATCTTTCCATTTTTACACTATATATTAGTAAAACGTCCAAGCTTTTTTTTTATTTTACCCCAGCTAAAGTTCAGTAACAAAATAATTAACTTTTAAAAACTTTATCAGATATGAGTTACATTACCCTGGTGGATAGATGCCAGAACTAATTGTTTTACATCAGTTGCAACCTCATATTCATTTGCTGTCTGTGAAGAGAACAGACAAAACAATCAATATTTTGTATATCAATAATAACAATTTTGATACAATCAATTGAATGAAATTAATAATTTGTAACCAACTATTACCATTTTTGTAAGGTTTCTTAATTTAAATCCAAAAATATAATCGAAATATTATTATTTAAATATTTTGAATTAAAAAAAAAGAATAAATAATCTAGTTTAAGACCTGAAAAAATAAATCAAGAAACTTCCACAAAAATATCAAATTTTAACAGTACAAAACTTTCTTCATACCATACATTTATTAACAAAATGTAGTTATAATTCTAGAATCCGGGTTTCAATACCCGTCGTGGGCAGAGCATAGATAGCCCATTGTGTAGCTTTGTGTTTAATTACAAACAAACAAAATGTAGTGTATCTATCTCCATGATTTATTTAGAAATATAAAAATTGTTCCAATAGGAATGTATTCTCCATAGGAAAACAGTGTGATTACCCCTGCAAGTCAACTAATTAAACCATCTATTTCAAATTAGTCATGCCTCATGTTTTTTGGTGCTTGTAATAAATTACTAATTTTTTTTCTCATTAACTATAGTTACAAAATTTTCACAATACCTCAGTAACATGTTCAAACTCCTCTCTAGGAATCTGTAAAATCTTGGAAACGAGGTCTTGTTTCTCTGCCAAAGCTTCTGCAATCTGTTTATCCTTGCGACGTACCATTTCTGGATAAAGCAAGATTGCTCGAATTGTTGAAAATCATTTTATTTTTAAACGTTTTTTCTTAGTTTACATATCACATTACTTTTATTTAGAATTTGTTTTCTGTTGAATATTTTATGGATATTTGTGCAAAGCTATTCAAATTCTATGTGAGCTGGCCATTGTCAATTCTCAGGCTGAGAGACTAGAGAAAAAAACAGTTAGTCAATTCTCGGGTTGACAGACTAGAGAAAAGACAGTTAGTCAACAGCAACCATTGTCAATTCTCGGGCTGAGAGACTAGAGAAAAGTTAACTGTCTTTTTCTCTAGTCTGTCAGCCTAAAAATTGACAGTGGTTGGTGTTGACTAACTGTCTTTTCTCTAGTCTGTGAGCCCTAAAATTGACAATGGTTGCTGTTGACTAACCGTGTGAACACCAACCATTGTCAATTCTTGGGCTGTTCAATGAACCTGCAGGACCACAGTCTAGCACACTGACTATTGGGCTTTGTATTTACAGACAGTTTTATAAAATTATGATTGGTCAAAACATTGCAAATAAGGTTTACCCAAATGCCATCTCACCACCAGGTAGAGAAATAATCATAAAAACTATTCAATTGTTGTGGACTAAGCTACTAAAGCATTGAGTAATCCAGTTTAATTTTCATAAATTTCCAGCACATTTTTCATTGAAAGATTTGAAATTTTCTATGACAGAGTTGAAGAATTGAACGTGAAAGCCAATCATAAACCAGGTGCTATAAGTCTGATGCCACCTCCAGTAATGATGGTACACATACAAAACTGAAATTTGCATTAACCAAAATATAAAGAAATCTTAACTAAAAAAGTCATTAACAGAAAGAATGCTGCATAATAGAAATTTCATAAAAAATTTAAATTAAGACTTAATTTTGTATTACTATTTATCGAAACTGCCCAGGATTCTGTCAAAATTATTAGTACAATAAATGTAATTACCCTTTTTCCTCCCACTTCTAGCTCCAGATCCCTTTGAACAACCTCAATTATTTTTTAGATATTTTTGCAATTTTGACGCAAGTATCATACACACAACTTTGTATAGCAATTCCAACCAATAGGATTAAAGCTATCAATCTGTACTCAATTGTAAACATGAGTGCAAATAGTGCATCACATGATGGTTTTTTGTAAAATGCCTTTTCAAAACTAATGTATAAAAATTTTCTAAAATTATAAGAAGGATGTCAGTGAGCAAGTTGGTAAGCCTAACTTTTTGAAATTTTTGTAGAATCATAACTTTTATAATAAATAAGCAGTTGTGAGAAAAGACTTAATTCTTTTATAATTATATCAATAACTAATCTCAAAACATAAATGAAAAACACTTGGTAGCCAAAATATGTCATCTTCCCACATTGGAAAAAAATTTAAGATCAAGAGGCAGAAGGTTTGCCCTTTTAAATACTAAAACCTAATTAATAGGTATATTAATACCATTACATTGAGAAACCTAGGTCACTCTTACATAAAAAACTATACTTATATGCTATTCAAATGACACTGAAGGTTCTCAAGTGCAGGTGTGACCTTACCTATTGGAGTCAGTAGAGGTACAGCAGTTTGAAGAACAGTACTTTCACTGACTTTGATTTCTGATGGTTCTATCAATTGTGGCTCAGAAGGCACGTGGATCAGTTCTACTCCCTGAAGACTCTGTTGGTGGTCTTCAACTGAACTACATGGAGAAGGGGCTTCTTTCTGTGGTGATAATGATGAAGAGTCCTCTTCAGGAAGATAAGTACTAGAAGAGTTTGGACTAGATACTTCAGTGTCGGGTGTAGGATGAGCAGTAAGTGAGACGGTGCTACTTGATTCTCTTGTCTCTGTTGATTCCGCATTGTTTATTACTTCGGGATGATCTTGGTCCAAAGAGTATTTTCTGATCTTTATGGAATCATCAGTGATAATGTTAGGCATCCTAACAAAAAAAAAAAGGATTTGTTAGTGTAGGAAATGTGCATTTAAATACATTTCACTTATAAATATCTATTCACAGTCTTTTTTTATTTAAATCATATATGAAAATTGTAAAAAAGAACACAACTATGAATATATATATGCTATATTTTGCTAATAATAATCTACTTGAACCAAAAATCACAGCCTACCAATTAAAATCATGAAAATGATAACTAAGTATTAAATATATTATTTCATGTCTATTATTTCTGTTTATAAGCAAGCACGTATTTTTATCATTTCATAAAATGAATCAAACTATATCTCAGTATGGCCAACACTTCAATAATTGACCTTATTTCAATAACCCATTAACTGCGGATATTTCCGTCACTGAAGTTCTATGGCTCTGCTGCGAATGACGGAAATATCCGTCAGTCCCACATATATAATTATAACTCTAAGCGAATGACAAAAACGATCGTTTTTATTGTGATTGATGGCAACTCAGCTGCTCCTGCCGCAGTTAATGGGTTAAGTATAGTTTCAAAACAGAACAAAACAAAAAACATTTACGAACATCCAAACATACATTTTGTTTTTTGCCAAATTATTTCCTTGAGTATTATCTTGTCTTTCTGGTAATGTTGGTGAGGAATCCTGACATTTTGCTGACTGGCTGTGCCTGGGTTTGTGAGCTTCAGCAGCTTCTGTGATATGCTTTAACCACCTACAAGGTAACAATAGCAGTTTGGAAAAAAAAATATAAAAATACAATGATGTCTGTTCTATGTTAACATTTTTATAGAATTGTTTAAAATCAGTAACAAAAGAACAAGTTTCAAATTTTCTGCACCAAAAGGTTAAAGCATTTCTATATTTGTGGTTACCCAGACATGTATGCTAGACTAAAAAAATTACAGCTTTAAGCAATTATGTTTGAGATCTGGATTTTTGTTATTATGTGCTGCATTTAGTTGAAACAATTGATTTTTTGTTTAATATATATGGTAGGCTGATTTTGAAAGGTGGGAAAAATTAGATTGATGTCATTTTTTTTTCTACACTGATAATTTGTGTGGTTTTATAAGATTGTGAGACCAGTTAATCCAGACCTCAAACATAATTGTAAGCTTAAAGCTCTAGTTAATCTAGATCTTAAATGTAAATCCTAAAAGCTCTAGTTAATCCAGATCTCAAACATAATTACTTAAAGCTCTAGTTAATCCAGATCTTAAATGTAATTCCTTAAAGCTCTAGTTAATCCAGATCTCAAACGTAATTACTTAAAGCTCTAGTTATCAACAAAAAAAGAACCAAACTTACATTTTTCTTTCTGAAGCTGAAGAGGCCACAAATTCATAGATAGCATGTTGTTCAGATGTTGAAACAAGAAAGAAACCTTTGCTATCTACAATACAAGGTATATTACAATTCATTATCACTAGGGCTACATATAATTTCTATTAAGTACACAAAACTTGTACAATATTTAATGATCAGTAGCAAAGAAGATAGTAAACACAAAGTTTTTAGTATAATACCAACACAAATGATGAAATACACTTAAAAAAAATTGCTCTTTGAACAGTATCCTGCTTTAGCAAATAAATTTAAATCACATATAATACTGGTAGATAAAAATTTATAGTTTACACATAATAGTTTAAAATTCATAACGTTCAGCATTTTTATATAGAAATCTAGCAGCTACAGTTCATTTTCCCTTTCATATCACAATAAGGAAAGTTTTACATCACTTTATATCTTAAAAAATACTCATTAATTTGTGTACTGTTATCATCATCTTTTCTCTTGTAAAACTTCTGCAGTGTCCGAATATCCATAATGAGAAATGACGAAATGTTATTAAATAAATATTATTAAACCTTTTCAACTCTGTATCTTGTATTTTTAATGACAGCACACCGCAATGTTAAGTTTTATGTTTTTTCGAAAACATAATATAAAACAATCTATGCCCCAATTTTTAGTTTTTCCTCCAAATTATAATTATTATTTGGGGATTAAAAACACTTTCAATCTGCTTAGATGAAATATGTCAACGTACGAAACACATCTGTGGTATATATATAAATGTTGCTTATTTCTAGCTCAAAATATGAATGTTTGAAGTTGGTGGTGTAAAGAAACTGTAAAATACAAATAATGGCACTTTTTATTTTGTAATGTCCAAACATCTAAATCTAAAAAATCATACATATACTGCGTAACATCTGAGATTACTTTTAAGGATCTACCAGTTGTACAAACCCCTTTCTTTTCTTATATGGATTGTAAATTTGTTACACGAGACAACTTTCTTGATCTCAAGTCTTAAAATAATCAAACTATATTATTGGATCCATTTGTTTGTTTTCTAAAAGTAATTATTCTGTTGCCCACAGAACTAACACATCCAAAACCTGATCTTCAGGTCTACAGTTAGCACATTGCATAATGACGTAGAACACAGCTTTGTCATATTATAGTTTTTGTCTTATTGTAAATTTTAAGTTATCTATTGTTATGAAGTACCAGTGTTTAAATTTGCTGAAACCTTTTATTTATCAATTGTTATGAAGTACCAGTGTTTAAATTTGCTGATACTTTTAAGTTATCAATTGTTATGAAGTACCTGTGGTTAAATTTGCTGACACTTAAGTTATCAATTGTCATGAAGTACCAGTGTTTAAATTTGCTGACACTTTTAAGTTAAAAATTC